GAATAAAAATTCAACAGGGTTTCACTTGTCTTTAGTTTTTTAGTCCATTGGGTGGTGAGGTTACCCACCTTGTATTTTATAATTTCCATATCTAAATGTGGCTAAAAATTCCACCCACTTGATTTTTTCATGTTTTCATCTGAAAATATTTCTGCTTTGGATTGGTCTATTGTTTTTAATGAATAAATAGGTAATCTTTTTGTTTGTTTTCAATTAGGAATGTTAATACAGAGGACAATAACCCTTAATCCTTAATTCAATGAAATTATTCTAGATTCCAATGTTTACTTTCTATGGAATCAAATGTTTATTCAGTATCATTATTTCAGTGCCGTTTCTTGCAGCAAATTTCTTAGTCTCCGGCTTTTAATTTTTTCAATATTAAGTTTAAAAATGCCTCTTAATGCTGAGGATGTTGCGCGTGGTGTGGCACTTATTGATGATGGACGTTCCATTAGATATGCAGCTTATGCCATCAGAGTTCCATATGAAACTTTACTTTCCCAGAGCCAACATTGCCAACGTGGTTCCTTAATGGTGTGGGCTGGGATTTCAATGGAGCGCCGCACAGAATTGGCTGTTGTTCGTGGAGGGTCTTTGACGGCCATTCGCTATGTAGATGAGATTTTGGAACCTCATGTGTTGCCTATCCTCAACAAAATCGGCAATCCTTCTATTCTAATGCACGCCCACTTGTCGCCCGCTGAGTACAGACGTTCCTTCAACAGAACAATATTGAGGTTTTAGCCTGGCCAGCACGTTCTCCAGATTTGAACCCCATTGAGCATTTATGGGATATCCTCATAAGATGAATAAGAGAACGTGCAACACTTCCTGATACACTGCAGGACCTTGAAAGGGCTCTTCGGGAGGAATGGGCTATCCTCCAGCAAAGGGACACTTCCCGACTGGTGGAAAGTATGCAGATGCTTCTTCAAGAAGTAGTGAAGGCAAGAGGAGGAAACACGCGCTACTAAACGATGATGTAATTAATTTATTTTAGAATAACAATGGTTCGTTTTGGAATCTTGGAAACATTGGAATCTTGGAAACATTGGAATCTAGAATCATTTCATTGAATTAAGGATTAAGAGTTATTGTCCTCTATATTAACATTCCTAATTGAAAACAAACAAAAAGATTACCTATTTATTCATTAAAAACAATAGTCCAATCCAAAGCAAAAATATTTTTAGATTAAATCATGAAAAAATCAAGTGGGTGGAATTTTTTGCCTGCCAGTGTATGTAAAGAATGCAAAAATGGTTAATATATTAGCAGATTCTATAAGAATTCTTTCCCTACCCTCCATTAAGGTTAAAATATATCTAAAAAATAAAAAAAAAGTTAAATTAATAGAAATAGGTCATTTAATTGAATTATTTTACTATGAATAAAACAGTAAAATAAATAAATGGGATAAAATATTGATTATATATAATGTAACAATTTATACTAGAATAGTTTATAAAATAACAGGTTTTAATTGTTTAAATTTATTTAAAGTGAATTAGTGTTTTTGAATCCTTTAATTTATTATTCATATGTTTTTAATTAATTTGATAATTTTTATGTGAATTAAATATAATTTGTCTTTTAAAATAAAGTGACCATTGTTTATTCGACATATAAAATAGATGATAACAAAGCTTGAATTGTTTTTCAAGAAAAAATACATTACATAAATAGGAATTGCAGGTAATTGTTGTAAATTACATACTTTTTTTTTTGTTTTAAAGATAAATAAGAGATTATATAGTTAAGCAGAATGCATATATATAAATGGGCATTTTTTCAGATATGCTGATGATGGTCTAGCACTGAAACGTACATATAAAATAAATATTATAAAATAATAAAAAAATTTCGGATAGGAGATCGAGAAAACAAGTAATTTTACTAACATAAACTTATTAAAGTCCCATCCATTCTATTCAAAAATTAAAATTTCTTTTTGTTAGTATCATGCATTAATTTGTCTTCAGTTTATAACTTAATTATTATCACTACAACCAGGGAAATGATGGTCCAATGTACATTTTGTTATTCTTAAAGGACTAACTATCCCAGAATAAAATTTAACTTTTCTTCTTCTACAATTAGTGTGTAGAAAAGCTAAGCTGCTGTCCCACTGTTGTGACACAACTAACACAACAGACAACTGTAAATGAGTAAACGAGATTTTATTTAGGATTACTTCTTGAATTCATATCATTCTCTAAAATGGGTTGTAGTGGGCAACTAGCCAAATCTACCAGCCTATTAGTTCACCTTACCGCTACCTGGTAGCGCCAGAGGTGCAACCTCACTCATTGTATCCAAATATTGAATTTTTGTTTCTTATTATTGTAATGTAAAAAACTGAAGTTCTATCTCGTAAATACTTTTTAATAATAAATTTTAATGGTTATAAGGTATACTGATCAACGCTTTTAAATAACAATAACTGTAACAACTCTTGCTAGCTGATTTAGTTATGGCAGAATGATTACCCGCAGTTCTCATTACTAAACCAGAGATCTTGGACCTTCCCGATAGTTTTTCAGTATATTTTATATATGCTTTTTGGTTCTACATCAAACTGGCTTCTTTTTCATTATGCTTCTTTAACCTTTTCTCCTTTTCTCTCTCCAAACAAAGTCTGGATGCTCATCCATCCGCTTGTACTCCTATATAGTAAGTTTTAAGGCTCATCCTTAGTTAGTATTTCATCCTCCCTCAAAGTTGTCCTTCATCCCCCCACAACCCAAGTTTGTGGTTTCCATCCTGCGGTGTTATAAGGTTCATCCCTTAGCCCGCAGACAAAGAGTGATTTGGGTGCTCATCCACCAGACACTTGAGGTCATCCTGTCTTAGCCTTTCCCTTCATCCACTAAGTCATTATACCTTAATTTGAACACCCTCTGTTGAGACCTTCTGATCACTATAATCATACCTACCTCAATAGGGTTTTTGGGTATTAAATAGGATTTGGATATTAAATTTTATTATATGTTTGGTAATTTTATCATTCTTTTTGTTATTAGGGTTCTCCTTCTGGTCTCATTTCATGTATCCTCCTCATCAACAGCAGCCTCGTATCACCAGTGATGCGATATCCTCACTACTATGGAATAAAACACTGTTGCCTGGGTCCAGAACACGTAGTTTTCACTATTTACGAACACATAGTTTTCAATATATACTTATCAGCCCAGTGGCTTTAACAAATGGACTTAGGGGCGGCACTTGTGAACTGGTGAAGAAACAAAATGGTACTTAATAAAGCTACCAGTGGCATAGAATTATAAAGGATAAGTTCTGCCTTATTTCTTATTTTTATGGCATGAGACCAAACAACCAATTTTTCATATTTTTTTATTCACTAACATACATTTTCGATCAATAATTAAAGGAACTTTTTCAAAATCAAATAATTTACCTCTTTTTAGGAGAGCAAACTTAACAAGAGATTTTAGGAAATAAGTTTTTTTACTATTATAACATTGTGGGGATCTACAAGTGGGATATACAAATATGAATGCTACAGATTCACCATTTTTACTCATCAGTAGAGGTGGGTGTTTCTGCTACTTTTGAAAAACGTAAATGAACTGTTCGTTGACAAAAAACAACAGTTCTTAAGAACTGTTGAAAAAAAAATAGTTCATAGAACAACGCAACGATTCATGGTGTAAGACCTATTCGTTTGATAACAGTCTTATTCGTTTTAAAACGGATTCAATTCGTTTAATGACAAGTCTGGAAATGAATGAAACGTTTTATGTATAAAGTTTGGCATTGTTCGAGCTTGAAATTGATAACCTTTTAATTTATTTTTAATATTAACCGAATGCTTAATCTTAAAAATTACTTTTTAACTAATTAAAACTGAAAATCATTTTTTACGCATAGAACACTTTTTATTTTAATAATATTTTAACTTTCTTGTATTAATCTGGTGGTTGTGATTTTGGACAAGTTCCTGAACTCTCAACGATGAGCTTATTGATGACATCCTTTCACCCAGCGTAAAGATGGATCTGGTGCTATCGATGAGCTTAGGAATTTTTCCTTTTACAAACAAATTTGTTATAAATGTTTTTGCATATTTCTTTATCAAGTGTTGTTCTTAGTTTGAAATTACGCTGCTTGGTCATTATAAGTCTTTTAACTGTAGTTCAAAAATGTTTTCAACTGTTTGCCTTTTTCAATTTTTATAGAATATAATAGTGTTTATAATTGTGGATTAATGGTTGACTGCAGTGAATAATTGAAGAGAACAATGTTTTTGCTTTTTTTTTTACTGATCACCCCAACCATTCTTCCCTTCCATAATAGTATTGAATTTCATTTATGCACTTAAATTGATATATGTAAATATGTTCAATCATAAAAATTATTTTCGGCCTGCAAGACAATAATATAGATAGATACATCTAAAAATATAAACTAATTTTGCCTACAAATATGCTTAAGTTAATTTAGTAATGTAATAACTATAATGAAAGTTTTTATATATTCCTAGCCTTCATTAATAATGGGAGCTAAAAATTACATCCCTAAACATAACAGTTGAAACATGTCTTATAAAAAAAAACGGGTATTTTCATGATGAACTGATAGGTTAGTTGGAAAACAGAAAGAGCTTCTGTTTCGTTTGGACAAAACGAAACGAAAAACAGATCAAACAGCAACTCGACTAGTGGCAAATGGGTTAACTAAAGAAAACAACTGTTGTTATCCGTTAGGGAGAACAGTTCATTCGTTTGAGGTCAAGAACTGTTCTTTTCAAATGTTTAGCGTTTTCTCTCCCATCCTTATTTATCAGTAGCTATTGATGCCAAGATAATAAAAGATTTGAAAGTACTCAATTTGTTGAATTAATTCTTTTTACACTTCATCAATAATAGATCATTTTTATCAATGTTTTATGATTGAGGCATTTAAAAAAGTCACCAATACAAGGAAAAACAAAAACAAGAATGAATTAATACAATACATGCTGAAGACCCAAATACCTTGGAATCCAAATAGGACTTGCTTCCACTGTTGGAGGAGAAGGTTCTTGGGTAGGAGAATGTAGGGGAAGTGTTTTGGTCCTTTGCAGGGTTAGCCTGATGTCTTTCAATGCAGCTTCAACAGTCGGATCTCCTAATCCAACCACTGTAGTAGGACTTTGAGGAGCTGGAGGAGGTGGTGTACTTCCATCTATTATTAAAATACAAAACAAACATAATGATTATAATATGAACTTGATTGAATCAATAAATTAATACTTAAAAATATAAATAACATTCTGATTACATTATAGTCTATAATAATAATAATAATTATTATTCCTCACAAGAGGCAACTGATAGGTACAGTTGCAGGGATTTTACGATCTCCCGGTTTCTTGAGTACAGTATACCACCTACAGATGCACAACAACAGTCCACTAAATTATTTACAATGACACTAAGGACACATCATACAGTACACACCCTAGGGGTACCATCCCTAGGTTGACCTGGCAGTAGGTATAAAATGCATCTACCCAACAAAATGGTGCGAACTAGGAGAAAAATAGCCTTGGACGAATCCAAAGTAAGGGCTGCTTAGGAGAGATTGGATATTCAGCCTTCCACATCTGCAGGTGGTGCCTCGGTGACGTATGTTCCCATAAGACCAGCTACTATAGGACTTTCATCATTAAACTCTGAACCGTGCTTGGATACCATCGAGTCTCCCGTGCGAGGAAGAGGAATCATTGGCCAAATAGGTAGGCAACGAAGGATGAAGTGAGACCACAATAGAAGAAGTAGAATCCTCGGCGATTATGCAATTGGAAACGACTTCTACGAAAACCCAAGAAGCGCCACACATCATAGAAATGGGTAATATACTGTTGAGAGAACACATAATGTATGGAGGAATACCTTTGGATAATAGACCATCTATACCAAAGGTACCATATTCCAAAAGAACCTTATTCACTGTCAATACCGTCAACGAGATACTTGCTGAGCATATGTCGATGGGTATAACTCTAGAAGAGATATGTCATAGGATATAAGTAGCAGCCTTAACTGTCTCGATGGAGCTAGGTTTGATAAAAGATGAGGTGAATTGTAATAATACTGATGAATACAAAGATCTTCCCTGGAAGAGAAGAATTAAAAAAAAAGATTGAAAATATATGGTGTAAAATCGGAATTATTACTAATTACCTTCGGAACCCTGAAAATGTTCTTTAAAACTAAAGAAAAAAATTGATGAAAGTATTGTATTCAATATTGGAGAAGTAGCAAGAAGTGAGTTTAATAAAAGACTTGGTGTTTATATGGAAACACTCAAGCAGAAATTAGCAGTGTTAGCAAATAGAATCAGGAGGTATACGAAAGCTCATGATCGAAGGAGACAAAATTCAATATTTAATAAAAGAGAACAATATTTTAATAAAATCTTTAAAACCTAAAAAGTAAGATAATAACAATGTCTAGCCAGATCCTATTCAAATATCTGAGTATTGGAAAGGTATTTGGGAAAGTAAAAAATGTTTTAAAAGTGAGGCATATTGGTAGGAAAATATTCGCTATGACTTATCAGGTCTCCAACCTATGGAAGCAACCAGTATTACTGTGGAAGATGTGACTAAGGCACTCAAGCAAGTGAAAAACTGGAAAACTTCTGAGCCAGATAAAATACAAAATTACTGGCTGAAGTCCTTTAGCAGTGTTCATAGCCTGTGGTATCTAGCTGTGTGGTATCAGAAACTATTGTCTGAAGAGATTGACTTACCAGCAAAGTTCTGTATCGGTATGACTTACTTAATAAAGAAAGGAAGCTAAAAAAGGATGGAGCCGCAGGAATTGAGACCCATAACTTGTCTAAATGGTTTGTACAAATTAACAACGGCTGTAATCAGGAATAAGTTGACAGATTACATTGAGGAAAAGGGAATTATGGCAGCGGAACAGTTAGATACTAAGACAGGTTCAAAAGGTTGCAATTTACTTCTGATTATCAATTCTTTTATTGCTGCCCAAATTACAAAAAGATTGATTGCCGTAAAGCCTTCGATTCGATTCCCCGTAATTAGCTTCTGGAAGTGTTGAAAATCTATAAAGTAAACCAGGCAATAATAGATCTATTAGAACCACTGATGAAAATTTGGAGGGTCTTAATCAGCACATCAACTTTGAACAGAATGAGTGCCAATGAATACATATCTATACAGAGAGGTATTTTTCAAGGGGACTCCCTTAGTCCTCTATAGTTTTGTTTGGTGCTTAATCCACTTAGCAAATTATTGGGAGATACCGAAAAAGGGTACCTACTTAACTCTGAAATGAAGCTCTCTCATTCATTCTATATGGATGACCTAAAGCTTTACGTTAGGAATGAAGATAAAATCATGGCAACATCACCCAAATTCTTCAGTGAGAAGACTATATTTGCCTAGAAAACATGGTAGAGGACTTATTAGTTTAATGAAGGCCTGCCATGAACTAGAAGCCAGGTTTAGAACCTACTTCATGAATAGTACTTCAACGATGCTATCGACCATTGCTGCCCTTGATCACAACTATATAGCACTGAATATGCTTCGGCAAGGACCAATGACAACGCCAACTGAGGAGAGCCTCACAGAATCATGGAAAAGTAAATCACTTCATGGAAGATTTCAAAATTCTCTGAAAACACTTGGCATAAATTTAGAAGCGTCAGCCCGTTGGTCGACTACAGGAAAAATGTTCCCAGAGACAGAGGGATTCCTTCTGGCAATACAAGCTCAGGTAATGGCAACATCCTCCTACAGGAAATATATTCTACATGAAGCAGTCGATGACAGATGTCGTCTAAGTAAAGTTATAAATGAATCGATTCAATATGTTACCTCTGGCTGCCAGGAATTAGTGAGTAAAGAATACCTTGTGAGACACAATAATGAGGCAAAAATCGTGCATCAGGCTCTGGCACAAAAATATAAATTAATAACAGGCCATCAGCCTTTTTATAGATATCAGCTATTAGAAAAAGAGAAAGTCAAGCTATATTGGAATCAAACTATGATAATTGACCATAGTATTCCCCACAATAGACCATATATAATAATACCTTATTTATTCTGTGATGAGTCCCTTTATAATAATACATGAAGACAGAAATGTGGGTTAAGGAGCCTCAGAGATAATAAATAAAAATACTGAGTAATTAAACAGTCTTGGTGAAAAAAAAATAATATAAAAATTATATATATATATATATATATATATATATATACATACACACACATATACACATATACATATAAGTTGCTTTCCAATTTTGATCAGTTGATAATAAAAAAAAATAAAAAAATAGATTAAAAAAATTGGAGTAAAAATAATGAAGAACGAACTAATAATTTATGTACATATTTACAGTAGTATCTATTTACAATTTTATGGGGACTGGATGGATAAGAAATGATTGAACAGGCGGGATTTAAAGGTAGGAAGGGTATTGGATTGACGGATGTGGGATGGGATGGAGTTCCATAGGGATGAGGATCGGATAATGAATGATTTGTCAAAAGCAGCGGTTCGGTGGGCCCTTATAAATTAAAAGACTGGGAACGAGTATTGCGGGAACGAACAGAGGATTTGAATTGAAGGAGCTCGGAAATGTATGAGGGACTGTGGGATTGGATGACTTGAAAGAGGAAGGATGCCAGGAAATACTTACGACGGTAGGAAGGATAAAGCCACTTTAACTCCGCATGAAAATGGGAAACAAGAGGCGTCCCTTGGGATCCCGAAGATGAATCGTACAAAGCAATTTATCAAACGTTTTAGTTTCGCCTCGAGATCCCCAGAGAGGCCCCCATATACTGTACAGCAATAGTCAAAGTGGGGAAAAATTAAGGAAGTGACTAGGAATATACTGCTATAATATAATATATACTGCTCGTTGACAAAGAAACAAATAAAGCCATTATTATCAAAGTTGGAGTTCCTGCTGATGATAATGTAGCTAAAACATTAAGTGAAAAAATTTGGAAGTAAAAGTACTACCCATTATTGTAACCAGCAATGGCCTGATTCCTGAAGGGACTCTAAAATCAATGAAGGTACTTGGATTAAGCTGGGAACTTCAGGAAATCCAGAATGGGGTAATGTTGGAAACCGCCAGCATTGTTCGAAAAATTTTTAATACTTAAAATTAAATATTCAATAAACTGCACCCTTGACCTCGGTCCGAGTCAGTGAATTTATCCGGCATAAAGTCGAGAATTGAAAAAATAAATAGTAATAATACCAAAAGCGGAAAAACAGGAACTCGTGCCAAAGGACTTCAGACCAATTGTATGCTTTAATGGAATATACAAATTGCTAACATCAGTGGTTCATAATAAGCTAAAATTGCATATATATGAGTATAAATTAATTGCTGATGAACAATTAGGGATGAGAGAGAATGCCAAAGGATGTAAAGAACTGCTTATCATTGACAGCTTTATAGCTTCACAAGTAAAATGCAAGAAACGTAAAATCTCTGTTTCACGGATTGACCACCAGAAGGCCTTTGACTCAGTACCACATGATTGGCTGCCGAAATGTTTAAATATTTATAAGATAGACAAAACCATTAAAGTAAGGGTTATCAACTTGATGCAGAAACTGTTGTTTCTCATTTTTAATATATAGACAATATAAAGTTGTATGCCAAGGATGAAAACAATATGCAAAGCCTTCTCAAAATAGAATGGATCTTCAGTGAAGACATCAACATGAAAATGGGTCAGGATAAATGTGCATATCAACAAGGGAAAGATTAAAGATGCAAATGGTATGGAGTTCTAATAAAGCAGTGATCAACAGCCTGAACGAAAATGACTCTTACAAGTATCTTAGTATTTACCAGCTTTAAAATTTAAGAAAGACATTAAAAAGCATTTCAATGATAAATTCAAAACATATCTTTCGGGAAAAAATATTATAAAAGCTTTAAATCCATAGGCGATTCCAGATTTATCCTATTCCTTTGGCATTTTAAAATGGACCAATACAGATCTGGATCCTATAGATTCTTATCAAAGAGTGCAAATGACGAAGTCCTGGAAACATCATCTGAAATCATCTATTGTAAGAATGAATCTATCGAGAAAAGTGAGAGGACGAAGCCGCGAGGAAGAAGCAAAACTCCGAAACTATTTTAGAGCCAATGGTTCATCTAGGGTCATCTCAGGTATTGTGGCACTGGACTCTGGTTATACAGCTTTGAATCCTCAACATGAAAATTTTCCTCCACCAATAAATCAAGTGCTTCTGCTTGATACATGGAAGTCCAAAGAGCTACATGGAAGATTTTACCATATTTTATCAGCAGCAGGAGTAGATAAGGATGTGTCTACGCAGGGGTACATTGTTTCCAGAAACGGAAGGAATCGTTATAGCCATACAGGACCAGGTCATTGCTACAAAGGCCTATAGGCACCGTATTTGTGGAGAATCAGTAGTTGAATTGTGTCGACTGTGTAAAACAGCAACAGAATTGATTCAGCATATCACAGCAGGATATCAAGTGCTTGCTGGAAACGAATATCTACTTAGACACAACAACATGACTAAGATTGTGCATCAGGAATTAGCCAAGAAATTTGGAATTTTAGATGACCCTTATCCTTATTACAAGTATGGACTCATGGGATCAAACTCACACCGTACTGGCCTGAGTACTTGGTAGTATGGTATTATTATTATTTATTTAATTTAATTATTATCTGCCGAATCTCCGGACTGGAATTCAACTCACAACCATTCGGTTTCCAGACTGGTGGGTTTTTGTAACCACTTTAACCCACTCGGTCACCCCGGCCTTTGCTGAGCCATTAGAGGTTATAATAATTATAGGAGTATGTATAAATATTAGAACAAATGTGGGTTGACACCCAAAAATTAAATATAACCAAAACAAAAACTAGAATTTGGCCACTCTGTTCTTAACCATAAAGAGCCAGAAGTTTAATAATATATATTACTAATTGATTTTTAAGAATTTCTAATATAAATCCATGGTATAATATATTTTCATCCAGGAGTAAGACTAGAAGAAAGAAAATTTCAAACAAATAAATTTTATATAAATCTTTATATATTGAAAAAATAAATCCTATCACATATAATCCTAAAAAAACTCTTATCACATAAATAGAAACAAAATATAAATTATTTTTACTAAAATTAGTAAGACATATTAAATTGACAAATATGTATTCAAAACTCATATTTAAGAATTAGTTGATACAATGTATAAATACATATATGCATATGTACTTACATTTACATACATTCTAGCCATAAATTAGACTTATAATGAAAACATTCATTCAATTATTATTTAATAATCAATTATATTCTTTTATTTTTAACATTAAATACTAATTAAAATAAAATTGAAGTTTACTTAAAGGATCCAGAGCATGTAAATCAATGTCTGGAGAAATTGGACAAGGAGTAGGCAGTTTTTCTTCTTCAGTGAAAGCAATAGAACTATTGTTTTGAGATGGCTTGATATTCCTTTCATTTATTTCACGCTCAATTTCACTGATTTGCCTCTTCATTAGTAGCACCTATAAATAAATAGTGAATTAACTTGTAGGTAACACAGCTTGAAATGTATTAAATACAGGAAAGTTTAATTAAATTGTATTTACTCATTTTATCTTTATCAAGGTAATTTAAACCAATTAAAGTTTTACAAGTTTAATAATAAAAAAACTTATTAATGAAATGAATAGTAATTTTCATAAAGTGAATCAAAATTATAACAGTGTTCTTTTAATTTACCATGAGCATATGTTAATTTATAAAGTTTAAACTTAGCTAAACCTAGAAAAGTAATAAAATATTATGATTGTACAAATATTATTTAGTATCTATTCTTAACATAAAATTGTGAATTTATATTAATTATTATTTATACTAATTATCATACAATGTTTTTTTTTTCTAACTCCCCCTACCCTCAAGCCTCAAGTTTTCTTCTCTTACACTATTTTACATATCTCATACAATAAATGAAACCCTTAACTAACAACTTTTCTATAAATATGGGTAAAATTTTGTCAGGCCTTAGAAGATAAAATATGTCTTATAGATGAATGACAAGTTAAATTACACTTTATTATAATTCCATAAATAACCTAAGTTCGGTTTGCAAAATATTTTATAACAACAAAATATCTTCTATTCGCACTTAAGTGTGTGCCTTAAGGCCAGTTTAATAAAAACCAAAGTTAGCTTTTGATAGTTATTTGTTGAACGTTTCGGGGAAACTGTGTCTCCTTCTTCAGCAATATTTTACTCTCCCAAAAAAACTGGGTAAATAGCAATGATATAACAAGTTTGGTACAGTGTCTGATTTTCAACTTTGATAGAGTGTTTAAAAATACACTCTTTGATCAACCAATTTAGGACACAAGGTATGACCACCTTAGGAAATCTGTGCCTTACCCTAGTGAGCTACCCTCTCTCACACAATACAAAAGCTAGAGGAAATAGGATTCTATTGGAGGAGCTACAGATTAGTCTGTCTAATGATAACAGGTGCAATGAAATCCACTCCTACACTAGGGAAGTAATGCTTAACATACCACCATTACAAATGGAGGTAGAATCCCAGCCCTCAAAAATAGGTTTCAGGATCAATAAACAAAAAATTTGTTCTGATATTCTAGTGCAGGAGGGACACTGTAAACCGCTTCCATGAATTGGATCTGACAGAGTGCAAGCTACGCACATTAATAAATAAGTGGAGAGAGAGAAATATAAAATAACGTTAACAAAGTTAGGAATAGAAATGGACTCGGAGATTATTCCCTTAACCCCTGAACCAGTATACAGCGTAGGCTTGAGCTGTGCCAAAAGGAGGATCAGGGGAAATTATGTTGCTGAAGATAGACAGAATGTTTATTGTTAAACAAAACTGAATAATACATATCTTACAAATACAGTATTATAAACAAATATCAATTGATCTTTGTTATTCACTTTTTTTTTTTAGCAAGAATAACATGGACTACTAATTTTTTTAACTTATACGTATATATATATATATATATATATATATATATATATATATTATATATATATATATTTTTTTTTTCGGTTGGCGTTAGAGACCACGAAGATCTTTGTGGTCTTCTAACAGACGGATATTGCTTGAAGGAGTACAGATAGCCTGGAGAGGGTCACCTAACCTCATGTTGCTACGAACCATGGTCTCCATGGTGCAGCGGCAGGTCACCCATAGCTCCATAGCCGATCCCTTTGGGCCCAATCTGGCAATGTCCTACCCACAGACTCACACAGGTTCAAGAACAGTTACAAATTGATCTAAAGCCATGGATTATGAGTCAGCAGACGCACGAGGACCTATATTTCTTTCCCTGAGACAGATCGCCCATAGACCAAACCTTAGGGGGGCTACTGACATCCTGGTAAACCACATCCCGATTCCTGATTTAAGTACACGGCATAGAGGCATCAGTCCTACACCCGGTTGGTGTGAGTTGCCTCCATTAGGCTGATGGGCTTCACATATTCGGGAGGGAGGGAAGGAGAGTCTCGGGCAGTACGGCTTTCCTTGGAGGGCGGTCACCCAAATTAGACAGGCAACCATCCAAGTACTAACCACACCCGACATTGCTTAACTTTGATTAACTATTGCAAGCGCCTAAGCCCGTACGGCTACCCCAGCCTCCCATATATATATATTGTATAATAATGATAATTAAATATATAATAATAAAATAACATACTACTTAGTAATGATAATTATTACACCAATTTTAATTTTACTTAATAATGATAGTTACACAGTGTCCCATAAGTAGAAATATTTAAAGTGGTGATAGCAGATCTCAAGCGCTACAAAAAAGTTTATATAAATAATGGTCTCATTTTCATTAGAGAGTCTGTGCCCACAAAGTGATTAACTACTGGTGAATTAGTGAACTTAAGTGTGAAAAATTGACATTTTCAACTGAACTTAAACATGGTGGGTAACCGCTTGTTTATTAACATTATAACATTAATAAAGGACAACCGTGTAAACAATGATAGTTTTAGGGAGAGACCATTCACTCAGTAGCCCTAGGGCTTTCAAAGCGAACCCGTGTTACTTGGGCCGCTAAAAGTCTGCATAATTATTTACATACTAAATTTTAATTTTCCCTTTCTCATCTAACCAAATGAAAAGCAATGTTATCATATGATAATGTCTAATTAGAACAAAAGATTTATAAGTTTAGGCAATAACAGCTCTCAAAACTCACAAGTTAAACAATTGCAATTGATTACCAATTGAGATTTATTGCGAAATCAGTTGAGATTTGATAATACCCTATCACCTAGAAGTACCCGTGTTTTCAGCAAAAATGACTACAATAAATTATTTCTAACTTAAAAAATTTTTAGTATTATAATAAATATAAATTCATAAATAAATATTTTATTTACAAAACAAAAATAATTATTTTTTAAATATTTATAATCTAAATCTAATGAAGTAAACAATGACCCATCAATTGCATCCCAAATGCTTCAATCACACACAATAAATCTTGAAGAATGGTGTCAAAACTGGAGAATTAAAATAAACTCCAATAAATCCCACCAAATTACCTTTACTCTTTGTCGTAGACCAATGACTCCAATAATACTCCACTAATCCCTGTTGAGCAAATCCGATACCTAGGACTTCACTTGGATAAACGACTAACTTGGAATCCTCATACTAGACTGAAACGACAAGAAACAGCTCGACGTTTCCAATTACTACAGCACTTACTGGACAAACGCTCTAAACTCCCAATAAATTACAAAAGACTCATATACTTGACTATAATAAGGCCTATTTGGACTTACGGAGTTGAGCTATGGGGCTCCACTAAACCATCAAATTCCTCTTGTATCCAATCCTTACAATCCAAAATCCTTCATAAAATCCTCAATGCTCCCTACTCTGTTACAAATAAAACCATCCATAATGACCTTAATGTTTCTTTTGTTTCAGATCTGGCCCAATTCAGATACCTATCCTTCCATAACAAACTTCAGAATCATCCCAACCCTCTCGTTTCTAACCCTGCTTCCGTTTCAATTCCTGATGACCCTCCGAGGCGTCTGAAAAGAAGATGGCCCCCTGATCTCCTAATGTAGACATATCATTAGAGTGCTACCATTGGGTAGTTACTCAGCAAGTGTTTTCATGTCATTATATCCATTATGTTCAAATTTACTGGATGTATTTATTTAATACAGTTGTAAATAACATTAAGAAATAATAATAAAAAAAAAATCTAATGAACCTATGGTTTTCACTCAGATCTTTATTATAGGAATTTATAAGTGACCAACTGAATGTTCCTAATCCTAATATTAACATTTAAAAAATTAATCAACTTTCTAATCGCTTGAATTATATTCATTAAAACGTTAATATTATTATTATGAGCATTTAGTTGGTCATTTATAAATACAGATCAATTCCTATAACAGAGATCTGGGTTAAAATCATAGTTTCCAATAATGTATTGCAGTAATTTTTGCTGAAAACAAGGTTACTTTAAAATGATAGAGCATCAAATCATCTCATTTTTTTTTACAACTTGAGTTGAGAATCTCAACTGATCTAGCAATAAACCTCAACTTATTAATATGGAATTAAAGCTTATTATCAAGGAAGTTTTTCTAAAAGTGGGGTATTTTTAGTATAGTGGGAGAGTGATAAAAAAAATTACATATTAATCATGATTATTTTTAAACTGAACTTAGTATAGTTTAGCCATTTATAAATTCCCTTTAAGTGATTTCGACTAAGACAAACTCTACTTGCATTTAGTAAATTTTGTCTGATTTTCTATAACGTAATTGTTACATACGTACATTATATATGTTTTTAGTTATCGCTTTCTATTAAACAAAAAATGTGACACTTAAAAAAAACACAAATCTTAAATTTTCTACTTTTCTGCTGAAAATAGAACCATTATTTACATAAACTTATTTGTAGCTCTTGAGGTCTACTATCACCCCTTTAAATATTTCCTTCCCCTTACAGGGCACCCTATATAAAAAATAATAAAATAACATACTACTATTTATTTGCATTAATAACATTTCTGTAATATAAATTGTTAAGATTACTTAAGGAAATAATCTATAATTTAATTTGATTCGTTGTTGTAGTTAAAATGAAATATAATCATATTTTGTTAGAATAGTATATCATTAGTATATTATTATTAATTTAAATAATAAATTATGGCGTAGTCAGAGTTTATCCAACATGGAATCATCAAATTACCGCCATATTTATATATTGAAGAAGACGTAGCTACAGAATGGAAATTCTGGAAGCAAGCCTTAGAATACTACTTGGTATCAACTGGACAAGATGAACCTTCAAACAAGGTAAAATTAGCATTATTATGTAACATGATGGGTCCTGAAGCAGCTAGCATTGTTGCTACCATTACTGATTCGACCCTACATGAGGTTCTCGAATATTGGCGCGATGGTTGGCCTAGAGAATCAAAATTATAAGAAGACCTTCCATTTTTCAAAA